TTTTTTTTCGTTTGAACAACCCATTTTCAAGATTTGATTCAATTCAATAGCTGAAATCCGATCAGATTCCTTTTGAACAACTTGCCCCCGGGGTTAAACACCATCATGTGAAAAGCCATAATTTGTGTTGAAAAAGATTGTTCACCATTTCTTTGTGTTTCCTCAGACATGATGAAAATGAATGTTTGATACAAAATACAGAGTGATTCATTCTCAGTTGTTTAATTCTTGCTCTGCTGTACTCTGCCTTAGATTCTGATCTAAAAAAAATGAACTTCTGTGCACATAAATTCTGAAATGTGATCCACGTCCATGTGTTGGCTCTTAAAACACTAATACAAAGCCACTAAGTGCACACGGGCGCTGTATATAGTGCTGAATTAATCTGGTGTTTTTGGCAAGTTCTCTTCAGGCTTAAAGTAGGCTTTTGTAACTTTCATTTTTTAGGCCCTTTCTAGCGCCTGTGAACAGGCCTCTACCTGTCTGCAGAACAAGAAAAAAGTAGGTTTTTGATAAGTTTGCAGGTTTCTTCTACGACTGCTGATTGGCTCCTGTTCAAATCTCTGATGTCACCCCCTGCAGCCTCTTATAAGCTGTTGTTACTTAAGGCCTGTTTTTTACAAACCCATAGTAGCATATGAGAGAACAGCATCAGCATTTTCTCTGCTGAAACCACAGAATGATTAACACCACATTTATGCTTTGAGATGCAGTTTAAACAGCTGAGAAACTAAGCAAATGATTTCTATTGCAAAGTTTCGAATATAAATTTCTGTGCTTGAATTAAGAAAGATTCAATGATCTGATTCAATGACCCATTATTGAGAAGAAAGAGAGAAAATGCAGGCTTTGCTTTCTGTTCCAAGGTAATTTTCTGATCCTGATCAATAAATCTCTCTGAAATGTAGGCATTGTCAGCCTGTGCATGTTTAAAGCAAACAAGTGAAAAACAAACACATGTTCCCTTTTGTGTAACATTGCGGAATGAAAATACGGATTTAGAACAACATGAGGGAGAGTAAAATTTTTGGGTGAACTGTTTCTTTAAAGGGGTCATATGATGTTGCTTAAAATAACATTATTTTGTGTATTTGGTGTAATGAAATGTGTTTATGCGGTTTAAGGTAAAAAAAAAACATTATTTTCCACATACTGTACATTATTGTTTCTCCTCTATGCCCCGCCTTTCTGAAACGCGTCGATTTTTACAAAGCTCATCGGTCTGAAAAGTGAGGTGTCGAACAGCTTGTAACACTCCAAAGAGAAAGGAAAACTTGAAATCGCATCATATGACCCCTTTAAATTAAGAAAATGTATAAAGTTCAACAGCTATTAGATGCTAATAAACTTAGTGATAGTTATTTTGATTGTTGGTTTACAAAGACTGATTATCATTGAATGCAACATTTTGTACAACATGACTTAAAAACAAGCACATATATCTCCGCTGACCTGTTTCAACTGCCTTTAGGGGTTAGAAACGCCACATTTTGCGAAATATAAGACAGGTCATGCTGCTGTTGTACGTCAAGAGACCTTTATGCCCCATACTTCACATTTGTCTGTTATGCAACGTGATACTTCTTCTGGTCTGTTATTGTTGGGAGAATATGTGCCTCATTTTGATTGAATACATGGTTCTAATTCAAACCAACAGTGACCCAAAAACTGATCTGGACACTTTAGAAGAGAAATGTATGAATGTTACTGTATTTGATCATAAAATGGTGTTAAATGTAACAAAAGATTTTAAAAATAATAATAATACACATAACTAATAAACATAAATAAAAAATGTTTAATATATATATATATATATATATATATATATACACACACAC